AAGGTGAATCATCGATTGCAACACCTGCAGAAAGCCGCTTTCATCGTGGGTCCACTCGGACTTCATCAAATTACCCACCTGTATTTTATCGTTGTATTTATCCAAAACGATCACGTTGTTTCCGGCGACTTTCTTCGCTTCTACCATCGTTTTCAGATCGGCCAAAAGGGACATATGCTTTGACATATCAGTGGCCAGTCACCTAAATTCGCCCCTTCAATGAACGCGGGTAAGTGAGGACAAAAGGCAAATAAATAATCATTAAGTAACGGCAAGAATAAAGGATAAAAGGAAAACGCTTAGTCCTATTTGCAAAGCAGCCACCACTCCACTTCCATTCAGAATCGTAGTGACTTACTGAATGCGAAATGGTCTACGCTTGCAGGGGCCATTATGTACAGTCCTCATCATTGCGGACTGTCGGAGGGCTGTGCAACGCGGTCCAAATGGGCGTTCGGCCTCGTTGCTCTACCAATGGCGATCGGGTAAAGATCGATTTAGGGAGGGAGCAACCAATGATGGAAACGCCGCAGGTGCGAGCCGCTGATTGCGACCCGACAATTGCGGTGATGCAAAATGTATGATACCGTGATTTCAATTAATTAGACGGAACTGGCACCAATTCGCCAGCTCTGGAGAGTAGAAGGCATGGTTAGTTTGTCTGAAAGCAGTCCCGGTATTCGAACCCCTGACTACCCCCATACTTAAGGAGCCACTTGCTGCTACACCATTTTGGCCACAAAGGGCATAGGTAAAGTGCTCAGTATCGAATAGTCCCACTTTTGAATACGACGCGTTCAGCTTTCATAAAGAGTCGTAGCTCTAATGCAAAGCCTACAGTCAGAGATGGTGGGTAAAGGATCTCAAATGCGTACGACAAAGCGCTAGATATTACCGATATATGAAGGGAAAAATCAAAAAAAACCTTCCGAAATGCCTTTTATAGAATGCCCTGCTGCTTGTACATGCATACTATGGCGAGAAGCCTTGTTACGAATTCTCTATTCTTGGTATCGTATCGATTCCAGCTCTTCTTCCTTTTCACCTCACTCTCATCATTCTAAATGGAGAGAGAGCCAGTGGACGAGCTACCAGCTACTAGCTGATATCCACTTGGGGTTGGCACTGGCTTGAGGTGCGCCCAAATTTGAACGTGAGTTCCTGCACATTCCGAAATTTCAACCTGAATGTCTGCACATTCAGTTTTTATATATGATTTAGGCTATATAACCGCTTACGGAATCTTCTGGCAAAACTTGAGCCTCAGTTCATCGCGGAGCGTGCCTTCAACGTAATTTGGTCCACACAATGACTCAAACAGACCAGTCAGTGTTAGAGAACTTGAGAAAGAGGACCGATCCCGGAGGAATGAAAAGCTGGATTAGTCCAGGTTAGATTTGACCCTCACTTTGCTGATATCAGCACCTTTGCTCAACTGACTGGTACCAAACGACAGTAGATGTAAATGTATTAAAAATGGTTTGGTTGTTAGGGTTCCAGCTCGCAGACCGTGCTAGTGCGGATGTGCCTGCTGCAAAACATCCGCTCATAGTTGAAAGTATGGAAGCTATCTGTGCAAACTTTGCCTTCTCCCCAGTACAGTTCTGCCTTCTTCTTGTTCTGACCTTCGCGCTCAAGAGTATGACGATTTTCGCAATGGGCTTACGAATGACAAATCCTAAATGATTTACCATCCTTCTACCCAGTTTGCACTCAAACTAAGAAGGCCGGTGTTGTCCTGCGCGAAGCTCCCCTTCCATGGTACCCTCATAGAAGTTGGTGTAGTACGGGTCAGCAGCCAATAGTTTTGAATTAGGACATGTGACGTTTCATGACACATCACTGACAAAAGAAGGAAACCACATTTCACGAGATGGTAGAACCTCATCTATGCGTTTATTCGTCTAGAGCTTGACTCGTCCATCTTGCAGGCAGAGTACAGCATCGTTGTGTAACACATAGGATAGGGCAGTCGTACTTGGAGCCGCTGGGGAGGGGGGGTCGTATTTGGTCGTTACTGGGAGAGGCGGGGGTCGTGTGTGGGTTTTAAAAAAACTTGCGGTGTTGGAAAAGAAATTTTTCCCGATTGTTACTTTTCGCGGTTTCTCTCGTATCACATTAGCTATATCCCCCTCACCCCCATCGCTCGAGAGCAAAATTTTTGGGTGAAAGTAAGAGAATCTTCACGAAGTTTCGGAAAAAATTGTAGGAAATTGGGGGATCTAAGAAATTATCCCGTGTCACATGTGCTGCTTGCCTCCATCCCCGGTCAGAAAAGGGGAGGGGCTGGGAACTCGTAGGAGAGTGTTAGGTAGGTGTTCGGGAAGGGGGGGGGTCATAACGAGCCCCTTCCTCGACGGGAGGTCGTACTAGCGTCAGCATTTCACACACCACGATGCTGCACCCTGCTTGCAGGTTGCTCCACTTTGAGTGTAGGTCCTCCATTCGGAACTAAATGTCATCGCAGGACAGCAAACATAAAATCGCTGCTTCGTTGTCTCTGTAAGATCATAGGACTCATTCTTACTGGACTTGTCTGAATAATGGTCTTTTGGCCTCTTACCGTTCCAATTGTGTGAGACTGGGGAGGGGGAAGGGGTCCTCCAAAAGACGTGCCCTTCAGTCCCTCCATCATATTCTCTTCTTACTTTACAAGGTGCAGGGAAAAATAATCACGATGGAGACCGCTCAGAAGACTTATGAGCAAGAAATAAATTATTAAGGCCGGTTAGTTTTACACATTTCATTCTATGTTAGTCAAGAAGTTTCCTCTTCCTGTTGATGCATCAATGTTTCAGTTCCTAGGTGAGTTTCTTTCTATTTTCTTCCATCGTTTGAATTTGTATCGTAGACTAGAAGGGTGCAATGAAAAAAATTACACTTCCTACTTATTAAATTCTGATCAGACATTTCCACCACCATATTCAACTTCATATTGTACACTATCACGATACTCCGCCACAGCCTTCTGGACGAGCGCCATCGAGAGATTCTGCCACGCGACCGGTGCCTGAGTTCAGCGAGATCGTTGATTTCTCCGCCACTGTAGACCACCCTGTTGAGCTCCGCCCGAACCGGGTAATTGAGGGAATTTAGGTCAGGTGACACACTTAGATACTGAGCCTTCTTCAAGTTCTCACACCCTTCCTTCCCAAGTAGACGAAAGTTTTTTCAACGCCATTCGATTACACGTACTGACATCCAAACCTACAGCAGTGCGAAGTTCCCAAGAAGGTACAGGCGACGGGCAGGATATTCTCCTCGAGTTGCTCGATGTAACCGTCAGCGCTCACCTTAAGCCCAAGGTTCGAGAAGAAAATATCGGTCTCCCATTCCAGGAACTTCCGGTCCATAGCAGAAACTCGCGACTTGGCCGGAAGGTATAAATACAGAACCTCATTGAATTATCATTAATGCTACCTGGTTATCTGGTGAAAGAAGTTCAGTTTGACTGATGAAGATGATATCCTGGACCGTAGCGACGTCGATGGAACTGCTCGATGTTGGAGGTCCTCCAGATCAAAAGTGCCGTCTCCAGGTAGCTGTCCATGGGTGACTCCATTGAAGAAGTTTCGCAGCTGGCTTAAGGTGACATAAATTCTGTAAGCCTTCTCCAGTCAGGCTGCAGTTGAAGATGACTTCATATTTTGGTGTACATGAAGGTGATGGACGAGAACCTGCTCCTGTTTATCGTAGAACGATAAGGTAAGGTAGGTATCTAGGTGTCGTCGCCCTGGTACTCATATCCATGTCTCCTCTCTGTGCTGCGCAAACTTTACTCGGCCAGAGTGTCTCTTTTTTATCGCCCCCTCATACGTATTCGAGAGGTATTCAACTTCACCAGATGACTAGGTAGCATTAATGATAAATCAATGAGGTTTTGTATTTATACCTTCCGGGAGTGTCATTTCCTATTGAAATGATTTGAATTCCATCGCCTCTGTGCCCCGATACCGAGAATTTGTACGCCCCTGACCAGGAAGGTCGTTCAGGGCGCGCCCCACTTTTTCAAAGTAGTTTGCTTGCAATTTGTAGGGACTCTAAC